CGGTTGCTGCCCCCCCCCCGGGGGACTTGGTTTGCGGGAGGAGGGGGCAGAGCGGCCGCGCCGGGTGCCACGGGGTGCCGGTCCGCGTGCCTGTGCTTCGGCCCGTGCTGAGCTGGGGTGGGGATTTTCCTCTCTGAGGACAACCTTGCGGTGCTGCTCCCTTAGCTGGGGTTGTTGGGTGCCCATGCCATCCACCAAGCTCTCCAAAAGGGTGCTTTGTGCTGGTGCTGGTGCTGGCCTGGGGAGAGGAGGCCCTGGGGGGGGTTGGCAGTCTTCAGCCATGCCTGCTGCAGCTTGCAGTCTGCCTGCGTCCTCGCGTCACTGGAGGGGACTCTGAGGACAACCTTGCGGTGCTGCTCCCTTAGCTGGGGTTGTTGGGTGCCCATGCCATCCACCAAGCTCTCCAAAAGGGTGCTTTGTGCTGGTGCTGGTGCTGGCCTGGGGAGAGGAGGCCCTGGGGGGGGTTGGCAGTCTTCAGCCATGCCTGCTGCAGCTTGCAGTCTGCCTGCGTCCTCGCGTCACTGGAGGGGAGCAGCCTGCAGCGTCACCAACCACCTGGCGTCGATTTGTAGGGGCTGCCGCACTGGCGGAGGGGCTCTGGGTCCTGGCACGGGATGACCCTCGGTCCTGGCGGAGGCTGGACCACCCAGGACCTGCCTGAACAGAGCCACCCTGCCCGGCCCTGGCACAGCGTTGCAGTGCAGGACGCGTGTCACCCACCATCACCCCTCCTCTCTGGAGCCCTGCGGGCAGGGGGATCAAGCTGAGTCCGTGCTGTACAGCCTGAGACCTCTGGGTGGCACCACTTAATGGGGTGGTCAAGGCCTTGCAGCATCCCAGGAGGGTCTTTTGCCAGCTGGCAAGTCTAGTCTTGGGTTTGCGGCACCGGGGATGCAGAATACCGCGGCTGTCGGCGACCCGAGGGGACCCTGGGTGGGGTCGTGCCGGGGTCTGGGACGTTGCTGCTCTCTCCAGGAGCCAGACTGGGCAGAGAAATAAGATAACGTTTCATGTCACAGGTGCATTTTTCTGAAGGGGAGCATGACCATGGCCACAGGGGGGAAAAACGGCGAGCCCAGTGTCCCTCGTTGTACCAACCGCCTGATTAATGAGAAGTCCCCCTATCTCCTCCAACATGCTCACAACCCCGTGGATTGGTAAGAATGAATGTCGCCTTTCTCCCGTCTTTTCTCCCTGCGGCAGCGTGAGCTGAGATCTCGGGGCTGTGGAAGTGGCTGCAGGGGTTACAGGGTTACGGTTTGAGTGGCCTGGTGAGCGTCAGCCAGTGGTTGTGCTTGCGGGCTCAGACTTGACACCGAGGGGTGCTGCAGTCCAGACTTGTGAGTGGGATTTACCTAGTTAAGGGTGCTGCCCTGGCTGCTCTCCGTCAGACAGCATTAGAGGGGACCCTGAGTCCCAGCTGCAATGATGGCTGAAGCTTTTTTCTTGTCTTTCCTCCACAGGTACCCTTGGGGCCAGGAAGCCTTTGATAAAGCAAAGAAAGAAAACAAGCTGATATTTCTGTCAGGTAACTAGGAACAAGATATATTTAACTTTCCCACACGTCATTCTGTAAATGACCAGATAAGCCAGGCTGCTTTGCCTGACCTGGTGTGTGAATAGCCCTGTAGGTAAGGATGCTGGTTATTAATTCTCCATCAGCGAGAGACAGCCACCTGTTTTAACGGGCCCTTGCTGCAGATGGGCTCCACCCAGGGGCCTTCTCGGCTACCAGAGTCCTTGGGGCCAGAGCTGGAGAGATCAGGAGGCCTTGCAAGTCTCCGTGCTTGATGCAGACCTTTTTCCTTGGAGTCTCTTCTCCAGTGGGGAAGCAACCGTTCCCCTTAGCAGGGAACTTCAAGTTCTAAGCGCTCTCCCCATAGAGTGTGTGTCCTGCTTCTCAGCACAGCACCTTTCCTGACTTGGCTGAGCTTGTTTTCAGTTGGCTACTCTACTTGCCACTGGTGCCACGTGATGGAGGAGGAATCCTTCAAGAACAAGGAGATTGGTGAGATTATGAACAAGAACTTTGTGTGCATAAAAGTGGATCGCGAGGAGCGGCCAGATGTGGACAAAGTGTACATGACCTTTGTGCAGGTAAGAGGCGCAGGCCAGGCTCAGGTGGGCTTTGACTGACTCAAGATGAGATTCGTGGCCGTGTTCCTCAGGCAGGAAGAAGTGATGCAGTTCTTGGGAGCCCAGTATGTTGGGTGGTCCGAAAGGGGCCGTGATCACAAGGATGGAGAAAAGCACATGTCCATCCTCACGTGAGGTTCATGCGTGTGCCAGGGGGTACAGAGCAGAGGGCACCTTTTGCGTGCTCTTAGTGCGTCCATGATTTCTCTTTCAGGCAACCAGCGGTGGAGGTGGTTGGCCAATGAGCGTCTGGCTGACTCCTGACCTCAAGCCCTTTGCAGGGGGGACGTACTTCCCTCCTGACGATCGAGTTTACCGTGTTGGCTTTCGGACTGTGCTGCTCCGAATCGCAGACCAGGTATCAAGCAGGAATAGGGAAGTGGGCTAGCAGGCGTTGTTCAAACAAAAGGGTAGCAGAGTAATTGGACTGGGTTTAGTGGGTGAGTGAATGGATCAAGAGAAGAAGAGTTACCAGAAGCAGCAGCAGCATGAGGAACAGGTCAGAGCTTTGGCTCAGGTAGACGTGGATTTGGACTGATCTGGGCAGAGGAACTGAGAACTGAAGGCAAAATTTGGACTGTGCAGTGCAGGAAGCAGAAAGAAAGGGACAAAAAAATGGCAGCAGGAGTGATTTTCTCACTCCTCTTCCTAGTGGAAGGAGAACAAAGATGCTCTGTTGGAGAACAGCCAGAAGATCATGGAAGCACTCCTAACCCAGGCTGAGATCCGTGGCCAGGCCCAGGAGTCACCTCCGGCATCCAAAGAGGTGATGGCCACATGTTTCCAGCAGCTCTCCAGCTCCTACGATGAGGAGTACGGTGGCTTTTCGGAGTTCCCAAAGTTCCCCACCCCAGGTCAGTGTGGCCTTTGTTGCTGAGCCCTGCTGTGGTGCAGGCAGCGCCCTGGGGTCCAGAACCCACCCTGCAGCCTCCCACTTTGTCACTGTGTTTCAGTGAATTTGAATTTCCTCTTCACGTACTGGGCCCTGCACCGAACGACTCCAGAAGGGGCCCGGGCACTGCAGATGGCCCTACACACCCTCAAGAGGATGGCCTACGGAGGCATTCATGACCACATCGGTCAGGTAAGAGGAAGGTCTCGAGGTAAACTCCAGGCATGCCCAGGAGGCGTGGGGCGGAGACACATCCACTTGGTCTTTGCAGGGGTTTCATCGCTACTCCACTGACCAGCACTGGCACGTCCCTCACTTTGAGAAGATGCTGTATGACCAGGGACAGCTGGCAGCCGCATATGCCAGAGCATTTCAGGTACGGCCTCTGCGTTCCTCTGCAGGAAGGTGTGCTCAGCACGATGAGTCCTGGCTGTGAGGGGCTGGCTCAGCTTGGGAAGCAGTTTGAAAACCTGTTTGCTGAGATGTTCCCCACCCCAGCGGGCCTGGGAGCTCCCATTCTCCCCTTTGTTGACCAGTGTTCATCTGGACAGGAGTGCTGCACAAGCCTGTGAAAATTTAGCTGCAGGAGGGAGACGGACGCTGTTTGCTGGCTGGTGTTTGCAAGAGCCCAGTAAACATGTCCTGCTCCCCTGACCTTGATGTAAAACCAGGATTGCTATCCAGTGCCTGTAGATCTCTACCAGAGATTTAACTCCGAGTCCATCCCGCATTTAAAATCCTTGGCTGTTCAAACATGTTTTTCCCCTTTGTCAGCTCTTTAAATCAGAATCTCTTACACCTTGTTGTGTCCCTTTCCTTCCCTTACCGCCAACTCCTTTGTAATATTACTAGAGTAACATCCCCGCTGTGTCTCACACAGATCTCTGGTGATGAATTCTTTGCTGATGTTGCTGGAGATATTCTGCTCTACGTCTCCCGGGACCTGAGTGACCAGGTAAGTTTTTCCCTGAGCTGGGGCAAAGGGAGTCACTTCCACCTGTCTGGGGTAAATAGGATGTGGTTCAGGGCTGCAGACACTTTTGCCTCCCTTTGGTCCCTGCTGATCGCAGCCTGTCTCATGTCCGTGGCACGCCTGCCTCTGCGCTGCAGCCAGGTTTAGCCATAAACTGGATTGCATGCCCGGAAGTAATGGGGAGTAGTCTGAGAGATGCTGTACCAGTAGGTGGGTGCTATCTCTGATTATGGTGCTGCTTTTTCCCAGGCTGGAGGTTTCTACAGTGCAGAGGACGCGGACTCCTACCCGACCGCCACGTCCGAAGAGAAGCGAGAAGGGGCGTTCTGTGTGTGGGCAGCGGAGGAAATACGGGCTCTCCTTCCTGACCCTGTTGAGGGGGCCACAGAAGGGACAACTCTGGGAGATGTCTTCATGCACCACTATGGGGTGAAGGAGGAGGGCAACGTGAGCCCCATGAAGGTGAGGGAGAGCAGAGATGTGCCTGGTACTGGAGCACTGGATGGGGAAATTGCACCACTGGGCATGTGGGGAGGTGCCAGCAGCCCCAAGGCAAGCGGGGTCTTGCAGGAAGCTGGTCTGCGCCCAAGCCCTGGTCAGCCAGGCGGTATTTGTAGAGCGGGGCTCTCCTTTCAGGACCCCCATAAGGAGCTGAAGGGCAAGAACGTCCTTATTGTCCAATCCTCCCTGGAGCTGACGGCGGCCCAGTTTGGGCTGGAGGTGGGGCGGCTCAGCGCCCTGCTGCGGGATTGCC